CAGAACCTTCATAGAAGGTCCTGAATCCGTAAACAACTATTTTGAATTCTCATATTGTCGTAACTTTTTGTTATACCTGTAACCAGTGAGTCTTTTATCGGAATTCGCTTTGATTTCAAGGCCAGAATATTTGCATCCATGGTCGACATATAGAGAAGGAAGATCCAGAATCTCCACCTCTACGTTCTTATCGCTTGGTGCCTTAAGATGCACAAGATGACTTCATGATCTGAACAGTTTTACTTTTCCTAAAAACAACCAACCTTGATCCAATAAATACATCTCTTGAAACCGTCTCGCTCTTCGTCGGCATTGCTGTCGTTTACCTTATATTCGAGGGTTTCCCAATCTTCTTTTGCATCCACCTCTCCACCGCAACCTTCGGGCTAAAATAAATTCATGAAGTGATTTGAGGTGAAGCTACAAAACACGTGTCACCCTTGTTTCGCAGAGTGGTCCACCGTATCCACTTGGGCATATGCATTTTGAGCAATCACGCGGATGTGGAAATCCATCATTATGACATTGTGGTTTATCTTCGCATGCGTCTGGAATCCTACCTCTCATGGGGACTTATTGCGAAGATAGTATAGCCTTTCAATATATCTTATTCTTACCAATGCAATTATAGAGCGTGTTCACCATGAGCAGATCATAAAACGAAATAATATCAGATCCCAAGCCTCCGTATAGTTCCCATCAATGGCTTGCATTACAGGTTTATCTTCGTTGACAGCGACGACGCTAAAAAAGAAACTTTTTTCCTTGCACAGGTATTTCCCAATAAGGACCTTACCTTTTGGCTGCGTAATGCATTATGCTACCGTAGTCATACGTCAAATTGTAGTTATTATTGGTTTCCTCCGTCTGCGGTTCGAACTGGTTTTGCCAATCATGCTGAAGTAGCCCGCGTTCATACCATACAATGATTCATTACCATTCAGTAGCCTTACCTTTATATTTTCGTTATTAACCACAATGAATTTATCACGGTCATACCTAGTATGGGTATGAAACAATCCGAGTGCGTGACCAATCTCGTGGGCAGCGTGCCCGAACTGAAGCAGACATAAATAGCATGAAACTACGGTTTAATGCTGTTTTCTTTTAAACTCGTAGAAATGTGCACGGTTTCTTTTTTCGCTGAATTCGTCTTACTTGGAGCTCTAACACGGACTCCTTTTTGAAACATACCGTTTGACAACCCTTGCCGAGATATAGTTCCTGCGGACCAGGGTCCTCCTTTCTACCAACATATGATTGACATCCTTCATCTCCGCCTAGTAGTACCATGAGAAAGTCCTTGGCTAAAGCAAGAAAATAAACTTGCTACCAATTGGTCGTTTTTTACACAACACAATGTTCACCCAGTAGCGCTCCATTGACGAGCATCTCGCTTGGAAAATCATTATAATGATTGAATCAGCTCTAATAGTGAGGAAGAGGAAATGACTACATGGTGCTGCAGAGTAACGAACGAACAGTGGTCTCAGAAGTTTGGGTTCTGCAGAAGTAGGATAGCCGAAAATTGGGAAGCCCAGACTGTTCCCTTTCCAAAAAGTGCTCAAGCTTTCGCAAAAACTCTTTCCTTCAAAAAATCGCCCCGTTGGACCGTTTTTTTTGCAAGACCAGGTTTTTTGGCTTTCAATGGCTATAACTTTCTTCAAATTCCACCTTCTGCGATTCTTGTCCCCCTGGGTTGAAGAAGAAGGTTAGAGCTTTCTAACAAATACTTGAACTCCTTTCAAAGTTGAAGGAGTCAAAAAATCGCCCCGTTGGACCGTTTTGGGAAATCGCGGACCGATTTTTTGCAGAGCGCTGGTTTTTTGGCTTTAAATTGTTATAACTTTCTTCAGATTGAACTTTTTGCAGTTCTTGTCCCCTGGATTGGAGTAGAAGGTTAGAGCTTTCCAACGAATACTTTTCTCTTTCCAAAGTTGAAGGAGTCAAAAAATCGCCCCGTTGGACCGTTTTTTTTTCATGAATTTTCGGCTACTCTCCTGAAAACACGGGTTTTCAACACTTAAACACTGACAACTCTCTTCAAACTCAATTTTATCGGGAATTATGATACCGTGACATCGCACGAGCTCTGTGCTTCATTACAGATGCTAAACCCATTTCAAGAAGTTGCCGACAGGCAAATATTTTTGTTCCCAAACTTTTCTTGTAGCCCTTTAGCAGTCAATCTACCAAAGAGGTCACTCTTTTATTAACTTAGGTCCAGTTTGAAGGCATTGGTTCACCTCTAGAATTATATTTGTGTACGTGCGCAGTCAAATATGGATACTTTCGCAGTAGACTCTTCTGCTCTGATGTGCGCCATGCACTCGTTTGTGCTTAATAGTTGAAGAAGCACTCGTTTTACCTCTACTGTCGCGAGAACTAACGTCTTGATTCTAATCGTTCGATGGTCCCAGCAAGAGCCAACAGCTGCGAGCTTCATCACAACACACATTAGGTTCCTTATAGCGAAAACCACCTCTCGTCATCTACACCCAAAAACCTCTTCGTACTGCAACGTTGACTCCTGCGAATACGACCCCCCTCTAGCGTCGGCCAAATACGACCCCCCCCGTTGGACTTTGTCCAACGGACGGTTGACCCTGGCAGGAAGTGATAAGACAATTTGAAGGCATTGGTTCACCTCTAGAATTATATTTGTGTACGTGCGCAGTCAAATATGGATACTTTCGCAGTAGACTCTTCTGCTCTGATGTGCGCCATGCACTCGTTTATGCTTAATATAATTAATAATAATTGAAGAAGAACTCAAAAGTTTAACCTCTTCCCTACTGACGCTAGAACTAACGTCTTGATTCTAATCGTTCGATGGTCGGAGCAAGAGCCAACAGCTGCGAGCTTCATCACAACACACATTACGTTCCTTATAGCGAAAACCACCTCTCGTCATCTGCACCTAAAAACCTCTTTGTACTGCAACGTTGACTCC